GTCCGAGGTGGAGAAGGCCGCAGGTACCGCCCGAGCACTCACTGGGAGCCATGGCTCAGGTGTCCGCCATCGCTAACCAGTGATTGTGTTGGCCTGTGCAACGCCGCGCAGGCACAGCCTGGAGGAGGGCAAGAAGCTGCGCGAGCAGGACCCCAACATCACCCAGATCAAGGGACCCGATGAAGAGACTATCACGCCTGGCAATTGGCCCAAGACTGGTACGCCCACCACCGCACGACCCACACAGAAGCGTGTCTGAGAGATCGAGCACGCACACGTTTGCCCGCGCGGACAGGTCGGTTGAGGCCTCTGCCCGAAGATGAGGCGGCGCGTCAGAAGTACCTCGAGCAGGAGGCCAGGCGCCGGGGCGAGGAGTACGACGAGCTGGAGGCCGAGACCAAGGGCGGGCTGCCCACCCATGATTCGGAGCTCTACGAGACCGAGAGGAGGGCACTCTCAGAGGGCGACCTGCGCCTCAAGGCCGGCGAGCAGGGCTTCAAGCACCCGCACGGCCCGGCCGTTCGCGCGCTCAACAAGCTCGAAGGCAGGAGCGAGATCTGAGTGAATAGCGAACAGCGAAGACGAAAGATTGAAGCTAAAGTGGTAAACGTGTCATGTTCACGATTGCTGCTGCTCCTTCATCTTTTTCTTCTTCTTGTATTCTTGAGCCAAGTGGTGGAGCACTGTCTTGGGCAGCGCGAGATACTTGCCTTTGCGCAGCCGCTCGACGAACTGCTCCTTCGCGATCGGGTCCAGATAGCCGCCGACCGTCGCCAGCGTCTTCCGCTGGTGCTCGGGGTTGAGCGCCATCTTCTCGGCCAGCAGCGCGAGCAGCGGCTCGGCGAAGGCCTGCAGCGCCGTGAGGGCCTGCCAGCACAGCTCCACGAACTCGGGCCACATGCCCGACTGGGTGAGCATGGTGACGAAGCCCCACGGCAGCGGCAGGTCGCCGGTGTCGGGGAAGGTCGTCTCGCCGCCCCAGTACTGGAAGTCGATGTTGAAGAAGGCGCCCGCGGCATCGAGCATCATGTTGTCCTGGTGGCGGTCGGCCACGGCCAGCACGTAGCACGCGATGAACGAGCCCACTGACGTGGCCAGCTTGAGCGTGTACGAGTTGCCCGACGTATCGTCGTACGAGGCGTAGTCGTTCCACACGGTACGATACGACAGGCCGAGCATGTTGCGGTCCCACAGCGGCGCGATGGTGGTGCCAAGCACGTGTTCGATGAGGGCCGTGCGCAGGACCGGCATGCCCTCGAGCGGGTAGACGTCGTAGATGCGACACCGGATGGGCTCTGCGTGCACACGCCCGCTCTGGTCGCGCCAGGTCACGGTGGTGCCCAGGGCGCGCCAGATCTCGTTGAAGGCGCGCATCATGCCCAGGCACACCTGGTCGTGGTAGATGTTGTCCCCCTGCTTCCAGATGAACCTGCGCACCGGCTCCGGGCCGCACAGCAGCCGCTTGGGCTGGTTTTCCGACGGGTAGACCTTGGTCACCTCTGCCCACTCGAAGTGGCGCTCCGCGACGTCGAACGATACCTCGTACCGCTTGCCCAGCTCGGCCTGAGTCAGGAGGTCGAGATGCTCCTCCGACAGGCCACCGAACGAGGCCAAGCCCGACTCAAAGGCCGTTCGCAGGTGGCCAAGGCTGAGCGCAGCCCAGGCTCGAATCGTGAGCGGCACGACTTCATCACCGCCTGCGGCCAGGGTGTCGGCGCGGATCTGGGCCAGGCTCTCCGTCAGGACCAAGACCGCCGGTGGTGCGGCAGGGTGGTTGGTTCGGTTGCGCCAGAGGGGGCAGGAGGCGAGACGTGGTCGGCGCTGGTAGACGAGCAGGACCAGGTTGAGGCAGCGGGCCTGCAGAGCGGCGATGAGGTTGATCTCTTCGTCGCGCCACACGTGGGCGGCGAGAAGGCATAGCACGACCAGGCGAGACCCGAACTCTCGCACCTGCTCGGGCTGGCTGGCCCGGTGTGCGGACATCGACTCGAGGCGCCACTCGGCCTGGGCGAAGTGGTCGGGGGCGAAGGCCTCCAGCAGCCCCCGCAGCCGAGGACTAGAGATGTACGCGGGCGGGCCGGGAACAAACAAGAGAACGGCTCGTTTGTTGTCTTCCCTCTTGTGGGGTAAATCTAATCTAATCAAATAACTCTGGACCGTGAGCTCAACCACACACCTGAGAGGAATGTTGTGAATTTTCGGGCCAAAAATTGCGCGGTAAGTTAATTGTCGACGATGAGAGCAAAGCTGATTGGTCACTTCCACCAAAAGACAGGTGGGAGTACATTGCCACTTCGCACCAAGAAAACAGAAGAAGCAGAAGAACAGCGACGAACCCACAGCACCACGCACCTCACCAATCTGCACTTTCAACCTCGTCCCAAACAGTGGAAAGAACTTGCGCAGATGGGCGAGACCGATATCGACGAGCTCGATGAAGCAGTACTCGAAGAGTATTACGCCATACTCCAGGTGTTCGAGGAGGTGCTCGTCTTCACGCAGACCGACCGAAAGCGCCACGCCCTGCAGCTTGCCACCGCCGGTATGACGGCCGAACTGCTGCAGGCCAACGATCTAACCGTAGCTGGCCTCCAGCAGTTCGGCCTGGACCCTCGGCCCAGCCTGGTCCTGCACAGCGCCCTCACCAAGCTGCGCCTTCGCTGGGCGGCTCCTGAGGCCGGCGTCGTGAGCTGCCCCGAGGGCCAGGCGGTCGAGTTCCAGATCAGCCTGGCCGGCGGGTCGGGGGCGTTGCAGTACAGGTGGTACAAGCACGCACTGAGCCCGTCAGGCACACTCGAGAAGCGGCTGCTGGACTGCGACACGGACAGGCTGCGGCTGACGGCGGTGGACATCAACGACAGCGGCCACTACTCGTTCTGCGTGACCGACCCCAGTGGCGCGCAGGTGCAAGCCGAGAGGCCGCTGTGGGAGCTGCGCGTGCGGCTGGTTCGCGACTTTGACGAGCTCGACGCGCGCGAGAGGTGGTACCAGTGGCTGGACGAGATGGTTCCGCGGCCCCTCTTCCATCTCGCCGAGAAGACCAACAAAGTCATACTCGACGAGATCGGCCTCGCGGTACCCACCTCACTTTCGCTTCATTACGTTTTATTTATTGTGTTTTTTCTTTTGCGTTTTGTTATTGTAAGTATGAGGTGGGTATTGATAAACCGGTACCAGGTGCTCTTGCCTATGTTCCATTCGCGGGGGCGGGGCTACATCATGTTCAAGGTGACGGCCGACGGACCAGAGAAGGACACATCAACGGTGATTCCGTGCCGCAACATGGACTTCCTGCAGGACATCATCGAGCTGCGCACCCTGGTGGCTCGGCCCACCGAGATCGAGCACCTGCTGGAACAGGGCCGCGCCAGCACCGCACTGCTGCGAAACTACATCATCTCCGTGCTCGGCGGCCAGCCGCCCAAAGACGCCAACGGCGCAGCCCTGGTGAAGCACATCATCGAGCTCCTCGAGAAGAGCGAGGCGGAGAAGCCCCCCTGCCCCCGGTCGACCTGATCGAAGGGAAGGAGGAGCTCTCCGGCGCCCACCTCGGCGCCCGGTTCCTGGTGGGCCAGAACGGCATCTACGCCCGCGGCTACTGCCAGCTTCCGGCCCCGCCCAGGCCCGACCTGAGCGTCACACGCAGGCCCGCGCCGGTGCCTCCCGGCCAAGAGGGCCTTGTGCAGAGTCTCCACTCGCGTGTCCAACGCCCCGCGGCCTTGGTTCCGGCCACCGGTGACAAGCCACTTCCGAAGCTGGTACTGGGTGACGTGCAGCCCGTGGCCAACGTTCACAAGATGGCCGCGCAGAGCGTGGGCACTTCAATGGGCATCAGCCTGGCCATCGAGCTGCTGCGGAGCGGGTACCTCTACAAGCGCGGACAGCTCTCGGGCAAGGCGGCGGCGCAGCAAATCGCCATGACGACGGCCACCGGCGGCCTCATCGCCGGTGGCTACACCTACGCCAGCATGGCCCTGCAGCAGCTCGCCGTGCGCCAGGCGGGCAACCTGGCAGGCCAGGCCGCCAGGGCTATCCTACGCAGCCCGAACTTCGCCGTCGGGGCCGTGCTGGTCACCATCTCGACCTGTGTCGACCTCTACCGCTGGAAGCGCGGCCACCTCTCGGGGCGACAGCTGCGCGAGAACGTGGTGGCGAACGTGGCCAGCACGGCCGCATCGACGGCGGCCGTCGTGGGCTTGGCGCAGCCCTGGCCACGTCGTGGACTGGAATCGGCCTCCTGGTGCTCCTGGGCCTTGGCGTGGGCCTGACCGTGGACA